GGATATGGGCTCTGTCATTTTCCACATATAAATTTAGCTCTTCTTGCAAACCTGTCTGAAAAAGGTGGCCTGTGAAAGCCTGAGCCCTTCCCTTCTGAGCCACAGGAGACTTTCTGGGCCTGAATTGTAATTAGTGTTAGGAAAATTGTTAACTGTGTGGTTGACAGCTTGAGTTAAAACAAACTGCAACCATCTGCTGTGACAGTCATGCTTTGCACTGCTCCACTAAGCCAGTGTTACGTGTCCTTTACTGCTATGTGCAGGTGAAGAAGCAGATTTTGGATGAGAAGATCTACTGTCCTCCTGAAGCTTCGGTCCTGCTGGCCTCTTATGCCGTCCAAGCCAAGGTAGGCACAGGGGGATTTTCCAGGGGTCTGCTGTTGTTGTTGATGGGTTAGCATTGCCCCTGGGAAGCGAGGCGCTTTGCAATGCGCCCACTTCCTGAGGAAGGGAAAGGCAGGGAAAGTTGTTAAAACTTGGGAAGTGAGGGGACTGCACTAGCATTGTTGTTCTGTCTGCATGGCTGGGTCCTGGCTACTTTCAGGTGCTGGACAGATTTTTGCTTTCTCTTTCCGGGACTCTTTAGCAAGCGCTCAGCTTATGAGCTGCAGTGCCTGCTCAAGTGTGGCTTACTACTGGAGCAGGTGAATTCCCCAAGCCCAGGGCTCCTCGCTGCTCTTGGCATTGTAGCCAGAGGCAAACCAGCTGTGGGACTCTGCAGCTCCGCTGCTTCCCCAGAATGCTTGTCATGATGATAACTACTTTATTTTGAGTGCTACAGCTTGCCATGTCAACGTTATTGCAGTGTTAAAGGGCTCTTCCTGACTCCTCCCTTTATCTTGGGCTTGATCTTGGGTGTTTGGCCTCACCAGATAGAGGAATAAGTCAGTGATCTCTAAGTTCCCCTTGTTCTTCAGCTGAATTCTGCTCTGGACCCAGAGTCAGTATATTTTGCTGAGGATTTATTAAGAGAACACTGTTTTCCAGTCTGGAGCATGCAGCCTTGGACAGCTTGCAGCAGCCCACAGCAGAAAGACTCCTGGGATAGAGGGAGCAGCCCGAGGTTCAGAAGTGGGGATGTTCTTGCAGGAGAGGAAGTAATTTATCCCTGTATATGCACAACATGTACTGCTGATCAATTAACAAGTCTTCTAGCTAATCTCCAGTTTATGTGTGTAAAGATGATGTCTTTGGAAAAGGAGTGACTGGAATCTGATTGTAGCCCAGCTACGTTATGGCTGGAGCCTTGTGATTGTAGATGGTTCTGACTCTCTGGATATGATTTAGGGAAGCGTTTTGGCTCGCAGGGCTGTAGGCAGGTGGCTGTGGCCTGGGTCTGGCCCATCTGCCTGTTCTTGAGGAGCACGACCATTGAGCGGTTTAGGAGAAGCAGAGTAGCTCTCTGGTCTGTGGGGCCACCTTAGCTGACAGTGCTGTGCAGAGGGACCTGTCCAGGCTGGATCCATGGGCTGAGGCCAATTGTGTGAGATTTCACAAGACCAAATGCTGGGTCCTGCACTGGGGTCACAACAACTCCATGCAATGCTACATGCTTGGGGAAGAGCAGCTGGAAAGCTGCCTGACGGCAAAGGACCTGGGAGTGTTGGTCGACAGCAGCTGAATGAGCCAGCAGTGCGCCCGGGTGGCCGGGAGGCCAAGGGCATCCTGGATTGTGTCAGGAATGGTGTGACCAGGAGCAGGGCAGAGATTGTGCCCCTGTGCTGGGCACGGGTGAGGCTGCCCCTCGAATGCTGGGTTCAGTGTTGGGCCCGTCACTTCCAGAAGGACATGGAGGGGCTGGAGCATGTCCAGAGAAGGGCAACGAAGCTGGTGAGGGGTCTGGAGCCCAAGGCTGATGAGGAACAGCTGGGGGAGCTGGGGGTGTTCAGCCTGGAGAAGAGGAGGCCGAGGGGAGACCTTATGACTCCCTACAACTGCCTGACAGGAGGGGGAAACCAGAGGGAGATCGGGTTCTGCTCCCAGGGAACAGGCAATGGGATGAGGGGAAATGGCCTCAAATTATGCCAGGGCAGGTTTAGGTTGGACATTGGGAAAAATTCCTTCCCCCCAAGGGCTGTCAAGCACTGGAAGAGGCTGCCCAGGGAAGGGGTC